CCTAAACCCTAAATTCTACACCCTAAACCCTAAACCCTAAATCCTAAACCCTAAACCCTAAACCCTAAATCCTAAACCCTAAACCCTAAATCCTAAACCCTAAACCTTAAACCCTAAACCCTAAACCGCTGCACACTACACCTCAGAGTCTCTTGAAGCGCCTCAATGTTGACTTGGTGAAGGGCCCTGGGTGTTGGGACTGCCTCCTTGCCCGGTTCAGGGTTTCAGGTTTAGGGTTTAGGGCTTACATGTTATCCTATCATAGCAGATAAGTATGCTATATTGTATGATCTTCTGTTTGCTATTTTTGTACAGAGATTCAGGTTTAGGGGCCAACCAGCCGTGAACCTGGAGCCTTAAACGCTCATTAGCAAGCATGGAGCACGAACGTCACCTTCACAATCCGAACTCTGCTCGGGCTGATAGCTGGGTTATGGTCTCGGGCTCAACAACTGAAGGTTGAATGAGTCGGATGAGCCGCCCACTTCTGACAGGTGCAGGTACACAGTCCCGCCTGACAGGTGTTCTTGGAGTTGGCCAACTACGGTGAGATTGAGGCAAGGCCAATAATATTGCAGCTACTATTCCCTCGAGCCCCCTGATATGCTTACAGTATAGAGCATAGTGTGCCCTAAAGTCCTGTTCTAAGTATGACGGCCAGATGCTCCACAGCAGTGTTAAGCCCATAATCTGCCTACGCACACACACACACACCTGTATATGTATATATATATATATATATATATTTATATTTATATACATATATGTATATATATATATATACGTATATGTATATATACGTATATGTATATATATAGATATATATATATATACATATATATATATATACGTATATACATATATATGTATATATATATATATGTATATATATATATATACACATAGACACGCACACGCACACACGCATACCTTGTGGGCGCGAGCGGGGCGTTGAGTAGGAGGAAGCGCACAGAATCGGTTGGGGAAGTGCCTCCGTAGCCCTTGCGAAGTGCTGTGGCGTCTTCCGGGTGGGCTTGCAGTTGATGGTTCCGGAAAGATCTTGGCTCTCGGGTCTCGGGCCGTTTACGGTTTAGGGTTTAGGGTCTCGGGTGCAGTATGTTGGGCCATGCCATCGCTTCAAATCTCGTCAGGCCTGCCATTGTTGACACTATCTTCTTTATGTGTCTGCCGTTTCGCGTAATGTAGGAGCCTTAAAACCTAGAATAGGGTTTGGGGCTCCTGTATAGCATTTATCTCATACGGAAGCTTAAGGAGTAATATTGGTAATCTTCGAGGCATCTACATCACGCTCGTGTGCTGCTAGTACCACCCCCACCAACCTTATAAGGGCCACAAGAGTCCCAAGCGAGTGTCTTCGAGGTTTTCTCGAGGCTCGGATGCGATTCCCCTTAGTGTCGGGTCATACAAAAGCATGGCAATGATGAGGATGATGTTTAGGGTTTAGGGTTTAGGGTTTAGGGCTGATGATGCAGCCCGCATGCTTTGGCCTAGTTTCTGCATTCTCAAGCCCCGGGCGACCTCTGAAACGCGCAGCAATCAGCCTGAACCCTGCAGCTGTTTGGTTGTGTTTGGTGCATGCGAATCGCGTTTCTTCCATCGCATGACAGTCTGCTGAGATGTGTTTAGAGGGTCCCCAAATCCGAAGGTTTGAACGCCAAACCCTGAACCTCAGACCTAAACCTTGACCCGAAGCCCGAACATGTTGAGCCATCAAGCCCCACCATGGAGTTGGCACAGGAGCCCTTCAAGGAATCCTCTTCTAGTTCTTAAGGCCCCTGCATGAAGCCCTTGTAGCAACCCTCTAAATCACTTCAAATGGGTGCAGGCCTCCTTAAACCCTAAACCCCAAATCCTATAGGACTTGGTCGTGGTCGATAACCTTTGTGACCACATGATCGGAAATGTGTATGCACGGGCCCCGGCAGGCAGGGTTTAGGGTCTAGGGTTTACGTTTAGGGTTTGGGGGTCTGAGCATTGGGGTTACGGTTTTCGGGTTTAGTGTCTAGGGTTTGGGGACTTGAGTTTGGGGTTTACGGTTTAGGGTTGAATTAGAGGTTGTGCATTTGGGCATCGGGTTTAGGGCAAGGGTTTTAGGTTTGGGTCGTAGGGTTTAGGCTTTATGTGTATGCGCGGGTCTGGGGAAGCTTAGCCGGTATAGGGCTTCGCGGTACAGTGTAGTGTGGTTTTCTAGGGACGAATTGGGAACATTTGTGTTTAGCAATTCAGGCTCAGCATGTCGGCCCGAAACTCCAAGACCTAAACACTGAACCTTAAACCCGAAACTCTAAACCCTAAGCTAACTCTAAACCCTAAGCCCTAAACCCTACATCCAAAATCCTAAATCCAAGCCCTCCACACCATGAACTCTGAAGCCAAGGCCAAAAGGCCCGAAGCCAAAAACCGGTCTGGGACTTCCGGTCGCAAGCCATAAGCCCTCAACTATCAAGCCTAAACCCTAGGGTTTAGGGTTTAGGGTCTAGGGTCACCAAAGCCTTAAACCCCCGAGCTTTCAGCCCGAAAGACAAGGTGAAGTATTACCACGAGGAGGATGCTGAGAGGGCCCTGATGAAGCTTACAGGCTGATTACCGGGTCAAAGGGGCGCTTGGATTTTTAAGGATTAAATTCAATCCTGTTCTATATGTCGTATGTAATATACAGCATATAACACATAATTTATATATATATATATATATAATAGCATAGTAGAATGTCATATGGTATCATACTATAATGAATGAATATATAATACATAATATCGTATAATATAATAGACGCTTTAATGTGTGTGTATATGTGTATATATAAAAACATATGTATTATAACAAAAACATTGTTGCTGTTGCTGTTGTCGCTATTTGCACTATACTTGTGTGGCCCATAGCAATTTTTGTTGCACTGCGATTACAATTCTCAGCGTTAGTGTTGTTTGCGCTACAGCTGCAAATTGCTTCGAAACGATTGCTTGCATTTGTTTGACGATCAGGGCTGCAGGAGGGGCTGCAACTACCGCAATAGTCCTTAAGCCTTACATACTGAAGCCGTAAGCCCCATATCCCTAAACCTGTCAACCGTAGAGCCCGAAACCGGTTCCGCCTTTCGTACTTCTCTCCTCAGCATGGGATGAGGCAGTACATCTGCTTGAGAGTTTAGTAAGGGGCCCTTGTTGGATACATTTTTACATGTTAGTTATAAGAACCCAATAAGGATTAAAACATGAACAATTTTAGTACAGCCCCAACAGGGAACCAGGAGTTTAGAGCTTAGAGGGGAGGCGTTCCGGGCATCCGGGATCAGAAGCTTCGATGTGGGCGTTCGCGACATTGTGGGGCGAAGGGCCGAAACTGAAAATGAGTTCGTAACCCTACTATAGGGGCCTTAATAATTACCTATACTATTTTGGGGGGGTCCTTATAGTATAGTGGGCCCCGAAACCCAATTCTTATTATTAAGGCCCCTATATTAAGACCCCAAGCTGACGATCCCCCTTCCTACATCTTCAGCCGCACAGACAAGCCCCTCACCTTTAAAGGCTTGGTTACTACATCCTGACCAGGGCCCTAAACCCTAAACCCTAAACCCTAAACCCTAAATGTGATCGCAGGTCGTTTCTACAGCGGCAAGTTGATCCAGGCCGCGGAGCTATCTTCTACGAGTTTTTCTCCACGCCTGCGGCACTTGTTTCTGTGCACAGTTCTACTGTGCTGTTTGATGCAACTATGGGGTATGTTCGAGTCTACGTGTCAGCTTCAGTTATTCTCTGATGAACGTGTGTATATGCTGTTGTTGAGTGTAATACAGTGCTAATGTATACTGGAATATGTCACCGAACGCTTTGTTGCATGTTGTGTTTCACTGTTATCAATGCTGTAACATGTGAAGCAGTTGCTGTTGTATGCGAGTATATTCATGGCATGACATTCCGGCGTAGTAGAGCTGATGATGTGCTGCTTTGCCGTAGTTTTTAATTGTGTACATCCCATGGCATCTATTCTTCTGTTTTTTGTTGGTCTGTTTTCTCCTGTAGAACATCATGACATGCCATCGTTTCTCATTGCGTTGAATGGCTCATGCCTGCATAGCTGCATGCGCGAGGGCACATACAAACTCCCCCCACGAGCAGACAGATGCGTGTGACATGTGCGCGCGAACATGCATATATGTACCCACATTCGTGCACACGTGCATACACAACACGCTGTGCTCTGTTAAGATGTTTGCCTTGCAAGCTTGTTGTTGCTAGTATTCATCTTCCTCATTTCCATGGCTGCATACCACAGGGGTATGCAGTAGCATAGCCTTTCTAATGGGTTATTATGGACACATGTCACATGTCGGTATCTATGTTAGATGGCTTCCATGCGAGTGCTAAGTTCTCATCATTGAAACCTGTATTAAACGCAAGTGAGCCACATGCCGCGATCAAGCCCATATAGACTCTGACAGAAATCTTCAAGCCCCCCAAACCCTAAACCTTAAACCCTAAACCCTAAGCCCTCAATCACATAACTTTTCCCCTAAATCCCAAACCTTAAACCCTAAACCCTAAGCCAATGACATCACTTTTCTTCTACTTCGATGACAGCCACGGGTCGAGCTTGAAGCCTTCAGGATTTGGTTCGGGCTGTGGGTTCCCAGGTTTCTTGAGCTTTCGGGCGTAATTCGGCTTCTTTTTTTTGTTTTTTGTTGGAGGGTGGGTGGAAGGGGGGGTTCAGGATTTTTGCGTTCCGAACCGTAAACCCTAAACCCTAAACCCTAAACGGCCCTTCGACGCAGGCGGAGTACACCACGGTCTCAGATTTCCGAGAGGCGCGCTGCCGCGCGCCGGGGGCTCAGGAAGATCAGGAGGGGTTATAGGGGGGCCCCCAAAGTCAAGGTTTAGGGTTTAGGGTTTAGGGTTTAGCGTTTAGGGTTTAGGGTTTAGAGGTTTAGGGTTTAGGGTTTAGGCTTTTCGGGTGCTGGGGTTTAGGGTTTAGGGTGTAGGGTTCAAACGGACATAAGGTGTAAGCATTTTACTGGGATAGCCCTACCTTATTGGGCTTTGTTATAGGGGGCCCTATCAGATTCAGAATATAGTATATTTATAGTCAGGAACCCGAAGGAGGAGTAATCTACAGTTTGTAAATATAATATGGGGACTATAAGCTGGGACTATGGCTCGGAGTGTGGGCTTTGAGTTTTACGGTTGCGAGTTTAGGCCCTAATTTAGGCTGATGAGTTTTTTGTTTGACGAGGGTTTAGGTTTTTGGATTAGGGTTTGGAGTTTAATTTTTAGTGTTGTGGCAAACAAAGGGCCTGGGTCCGTCATTGAGGGTCCCTGTTATGTGAACTAATTGTTGCGTGGAGTCAAGGAAATGTTGAGTTTCTGGGAATGGGTCGAGAGCAGTAAAGAGGAAGACAGCGAGAAGCTAAAACCGTTACTCTACGAAGCCAGCAGATCACTTCATCCGTGTACGTCTTCCGTATCTATCGCTCCGAAGTGCTTTCCCCCTAGACCCTAAGCCCTAAACGATTATGGCCCTGCACATTTTCCCACCCGACACTCACAGCTCTCGTCGCAACTTATATAAATCGAACCGCAGAACCATTTCCGGGCTGCATGGTATGAGGAGAAAACCCCAATCCCGCGGACCCCTACTCCGAGAGCCGGAACTCTATTTATCCTGTTTCGGACCCTATTAAAAAGCCACATAATATAGGGGCCTTAATAATTAGAATATGGTTTTTGGGCCCATTATAGTTTCATAACAAAGAAACCCCAAAATAGTATAGGTAATTATCTAGGCCCTTACATTACGATGTCCAGACGCAGTTCGGGTATCGCTTTCCTTGGCCTGTGGGCAGCGAGGTTTCACGAGACCCGATGCAATCGAGGGGCCTACTGCATGCGCCTCAGGGTATCGCAGTCATTGAGGGTGCAGGGTTCAGGATACGCCTCAGCCCTAAGCCCTAAACCCTGTTTTTTTCAGTCTCTTGTAGGAAGTGTTCCCGGAGCTCTTAAGGCCTAGGGTTTTGAGGGTCCGGACGGAGCTCTTCACTGCTCTTACAAAGTCTTCTGCCGCCCCTGAGTGATACTGGATTTCGATCCTTCGGTGGTCATGAAAGCCCTAAACCCTCGACCCAACATGAAACCCTAAACAAGCCCCAAATACCAACTCCAGAAGTTTAAGTTCTAACGCCCAAATCCGAAATCCAAGTATGTTGTGGAATGCGTAGAACCTACAACCCTGAACCGCCGTGCCGTCCCGGTTCAAGCAAGTCTTGTCCCTCAGCCCCGCCGGCAGCACACCGAGAATCTCGCCCGTGTCGTGTCCGCCATGTCCGCTCCTCCGTCCATGGCACAGACCTACCACCAGGGCCCCCTCTCTGCCAGCTTGCATCCCAAGGAGCCGCGGAAGCAAAGCCCTAAAACCTAAACCCCAAAACCCTAAACCCTAGAAGCCCTAAACCCTAAAAGCCCTAAGTAAGGGTTGTTGAAATTCACGGCTGAGGCAGAAAGCCCTGAAGCCGCCCCAAACCCTAAACCCCTAAACCCCTAAACCCCTAGACCCTAAACCCCTAAACCCCCTAACCTCTAAAGCCCTAAACCCCCTAAACCCAAAACCCCTAAACCCCTAACCTCTAAAGCCCTAAACCCCCTAAACCCAAAACCCCCAAACCCCTTCAACTGGGGAGGCGCTCTCCAAGGAGGAGCTGGAGGCATGCAGGGAGGAACTCGAGAGCCTGAAGGCCCAGTCTCCCGACTGCGATGTACGGCAGGGTTTGGGGTTTAGGGTTTAGGGTTTAGGGTTTGGGGTTTAGGGTTTAGGGTTCAGGGTTTAGGGTTTAGGGTTTAAGGTTTAGGGTTCAGGGTTTTAGGGTTTAGAGGATCTGTAAGCTGTAAGGGATCTATACGGGTGCTATAGGGGCATCCTCAGGGTACTGCAAGAGTAGGGTTTGGGGTTTGGGGTTTAGTATTCAGGGCTTAGGGTTTTGGGCATGGGAGGGTTTTGAGCCTGCGATTTCCACCCGTCCAAGTTTCGAATCATGAGCCAAGAAGACATGCAACAGCTTTGTGATCTGGGCCCTAGGCCTCAAACCCTAAACCCGAAACCCTAAACCTCAAACCCTAAACCACTAAACCCTAGATCCTAAAACCGAAACCATAAACCCTAAACCCTAAACCGTAAACCCTAAACCCTAAACCCTAAACCACTAAACCACTAAACCCCAAGCCCTAAGCAGCCGAGGTATGGCTTGAAGGACTGCCAGAGTGATGTTGGTCTGGGGATTTCAGAGCTTCAGTGTATCGGCTGTCTGGGGGGATAAAGCTCAGGATTTGGGGTTTAGGGTTTAGGGCTTAGGGCTTTAGGGCTTCAGGAACCCTAAACCCTAAACCCTGAGGTTT